AATAGAGTTTGGATCCCAGGTTTAAAGTGGAATAGAGTTTGGATTCCAGGTTTAAAGTGGAATAGAGTTTGGATCCCAGGTTTAAAGTGGAATAGAGTTTGGATTCCAGGTTTAAAGTGGAATAGAGTTTGGATCCCAGGTTTAAAGTGGAATAGAGTTTGGATTCCAGGTTTAAAGTGGAATAGAGTTTGGATCCCAGGTTTAAAGTGGAATAGAGTTTGGATCCCAGGTTTAAAGTGGAATAGAGTTTGGATCCCAGGTTTAAAGTGGGATAGAGTTTGGATCCCAGGTTTAAAGTGGAATAGAGTTTGGATCCTAGGTTTAAAGTGGAATAGAGTTTGGATCCCAGGTTTAAAGTGGAATGGAGTTTGGATCCCAGGTTTAAAGTGGAATGGAGTTTGGATCCCAGGTTTAAAGTGGAATAGAGTTTGGATCCCAGTTTCAAAATCGTACAAAGATTTCATGTGAAAATTTCGTACTTCTAAAGTCTATTCGTTTTTGAAAAATACTGCTATACCACCTAAGCTAGGTTTCTAGAAAAAAGCACTTTTAATAAAATTTCACTATTCGTGAATTAAGATGATGACAACGAACGTTATTTGTGGGGTCAGCAATCGTTCGCTCTTATGGTTGATGACAGGTGGAAGTCGTTTGTCCAAGTTTTTTTCAGAATATCCGGAATAACTTGCGTCACCATAGTTTTGGTTTACATTCACTAATGTAAATTTGTGAAACTGTGGCCATTCATATCGAATAATATAAGAGAAACATTGAATATACGCTACGAGCTGTTATTTTCGTAAGTTTCTCACCGATTGGCGCAGGATTCTCACATCGTCGTCGTCTTCTCTGCGTAATCCTTTGCTCACAAGACGACCAATTCGACCAGCTGGTCCATCCGCCATTCCGAGTACAATTCATTAACTTAAAATTGATGAAATTTCAACCGCATAGGCTTTACGATGGTGTGTTTAGCGCTACGGTTGGATGTACTCTGCAGTGCACGTGCAGTTTCTGCTTCGACCACGAACGGCAGGCAAACCAAGTCGTTTGTCTTTTCATGATCGAAAAATTGGCACCAATCTTGTCTAGGAGCATAAGTTCACTGTCCTGCAGCTCTTGGAAATTAGTAGTACAGACCAAATACGTTTTTGATCACCTATATCTATAATGCTACGAATGGAGTCGAATGCATAGAACCAATGGTTTAGTCAGTGCTGAACTCTTTGTCCTTTATCATCTTTTCAAAATAGAGCTGCATATTTAACGATATTACGGCGTGATTTTGTTATTACATTCCTACCATAAATTCAATGTACTTACCGTATTGTATCGCATACAGTGCACCTCATAAACAATCATACGTACCGATATTTGATGTCGTCGCATCGACATACATTTACATGTGATGTCATCTAATGATGAATGGCAATCGGAGATTCTCTATAAGACAACATTTTCTCTCTCAGTTGGGTTTGAATTCCTGCATACAGTAATCTTTAGTAAGTATTTAGTATAACTAAAAAGTGGATTTCCTCACATACCATTTTTGAAGCTTTTGTGAGATACTGCGTCATTAAATTAACAAACTGGATCAGATACAGCATGGTTTAAAAGAAATAAGTGACATAGAGAAATATTCACTAAATACTGAAGCAACACTTTTCTGCCAAATGATGCCTGGACCATTTCCCTGTTACTCAAGCCCTCATTCATCAACCATCTGCTTCAAAAAGTGGAAAGAATGCACGAGCTGCTGTCAGCAGCGAATTGAAGTCCTATGACCTTACTGTGTGGGATTTTTACAGATGAAACTGACTGGGGAAATGTCTTACCGAAAGGAAAATATTATCAATCGGTCTGAAAATCGACCGTGTCATCTGTGGCTTGCCTTATTAGTTGTCGTGTAAGTCGACTGATCACCAATAATATCTCCATTTCGTCTCCGACAGAGGGTTGGAGCGGATTTGTTCAGTTGACTTCGCTTGTTCCATCGATAACGAGGAGAGCCACACTCTCGAAATAAAGTTCTTCATTTCTACTGGTTGATAGTCTTGGCTCAGCCCTGGTTTATCTCTAGCTTGACTTTCAGATGGAAATTTTTTCGCTCCTTTTTTTCTTTGTGAAGATGGTTACTGTTGAGATTATGAGCATACACCGTGCATTGCGCACTTTTGCATTTAGAAAACCTCGCCATCCACGATGAAGCAGTAGACATTGGAGGAATGTGCACACGACATAGAGCTAAGAGCCATATATAGCTCACTATTTCGTTGTTCCTGTCTGATCCTTTCTGGTTAGCGTGCAATTTTTGGTATTTTGTCAAAGCTGCTGTGTTAAAGATGAGATTGGGTTTAAACTGTCATCAAAAACATCAATCTACGGCCGAGATGGACGTTTGGTGGGTCACCTTGACATAAGCGCCATCTCGTTTTGCTGTAACTGGATCGATCAACATCAGATGATAATACTTTGTGGAAGGCTAGCCGGGACCATCGCATAAATAATAATTATAAGTTCTTTGTGGAAAGTATTATGACTCAAAGTACACGTTACATATATATTTACATCTATACATTAGTTATATTCGACATCGACATCGATCCATCGACAAGTTAAATTGATAGCTGTTCTGGGATTTTCAGATGTCTGTATATCCTAAAGTGTAATTCGGTTAAGGAAAGTTGTGCATAGATTTCACTGTATTCTTGGTGAGTAAACACGCAGTTATTACTTTATTCAGTGGATTTCACCTTCAACACTGCCTAGAAAGGTCAAGTTAACTGCAATCTATCCAAGCAAACACTTCCATAACCAGAAAAGAAGAAGCACGACACCAAAATTTCAATCCCGTTGAAAACAAAGTAGTTTATTCACACATAGAGAGCAACCGCATAGAGTTCACATGGAAGAGTAATGTACCTGCCTCATATTAAAATATCAGTCATAAATACCGCTCGGTATCACGCATGATTACGAGGCATTCCTCTCTGCGGTTTATTTTATGAATCTTGGAACTTATCCTAACCTCTACTTCAAAGTCTCTGTTATGTCTCCACGTCCTTTGCCCTTCTAGTGGAGTGTTTGGCTTAGTTTTACATTTACCGACCAAGTGTTATTTTATACGGATGCCGACTGGTCTAGCCACTTGGCCAACGTATTTGTCCCCACGTGCTTTACAAGAGATTTGGTACCCTGTAACCTAACTTTACGTTCTGCAAAGACGGTAATACAGGATATTGCCAACAAGCTGGCGTTCGGTGGTATTTCAATCATTGTTGCCGAGTTCTCTAGACTAGATTCTCTTCCTAAATAAAGTTTTATAGCTTCACTTATTTCGTTTGAAACGAAGGTTTTGCGGGACCTAAATATCGCTGGAATTATAGTTTAGGACCTTGGGTTTCCTTTACGTGTATCCCGAGGAGCTACAGTTTCGTGGCCGTTGGAAATGGTTATTCACCACACAAATTTCACCGATTCTCCTTTCTGCTATCTTCCTGTGCGCACACTTTTTGAAGCATTTTTCTAACAAGCGCTTCTTTTGTGTGTGAGAGGTAAGATGAGAGATAATAAAGAGAGATGTTTTTGTTACTTGTTTTCGGTGCCACATTAATTTGAACGTTCGGAAATGGAAGCCTGTTTTCTTTTGGCTTCTCTTTTGTAAGCGTATTTGCATTCTGACTGTCCATCCAGTATCTCATTGCGTTTATCCATTTATACCTGTGTGAAGCAAATGACAAAGCAGACATTTAAACATCTACAGTACAGTAGCGGCCGCAGATCGATTAGTGCGTAGAGTGCATAGAGTTTGATGTGATGAGAGTAACTAAAAGCTACAGATTTTTCCCTTTCTAACGTACACTTCTTCTACTACTAAGTTATTGATTGTTTCATTTTAGGGGCGATTCTAGGGTTTGTTCACATTTGGATTAGAGCTATCTCAGAAAAACTCCCTTCGAATCACAAAGGTGGGTGGTGCCGTTGGTGAAAAACTGAGCGCATTCTAGTAGAACTACCCCAGGGTTTTAAAGAATACAGCGTCGACCGGCGTTCATCTACTTTAATGAAGAAGACAATATTCTCAGGTAATAACCGAACCCGCGTGCAGATCGAGATGCCTTCATGGATAACGGACAAAGCAACAAACCGAGTGAAAGAAGTGATAGGCTACGCAGATTATATGAAGTCGGATCATTCAAATAAAAAAAAATTTGGGACATCCTTTAGCAGTGTTTTGCACAGTTTTTTCCTACACGGCAAAGTACAACTTTCTAACTTATGGAAATTCACAATGAATCGATGAAAGTGTAGAGGATAAAGCGTCCGCCGCTGATCAATCCTGAGAGGCTCCATGCATTCGGCCTTATCAGCATCGTTCTCTTGTTCAGCAATCGCGAGGTTGTTAAACAATGCACATTTACTTTCATAGAAAAACACAATACAATACAACGCTAGCTGACGTTTGGACAGTATCGCCTTCTTCAGAGCCTGGAAGGGTATGCTGATATACAATTTACTAGGCCAGACGTTTCAATAACAAAAAGACGAAAAACTCTGTGGTAACTACGTGATCAACAGCTTCTCGAAACAGTCACCGCTTTTTGTGACTTCCAATAAGGAAGGTTAGAACAGCTGACTATAGTCGCATATGGTTGATGACTGCACCACCCCACATCAAAAATCGATGCGAACATACGGGGTCAGGTCGCGTATGACCTCTGAGCATTCCTCACTGCTATTCATTGTAGGGTTTTGGCATTTATCCAAAAAACCTCAAGAATTTTTCGCGCTGGTGTTTTAGTCTCCTGTGCAAGGATATTCGCTTTTACTTCGAAATCGTCTCCGCTATGCTTTTGTATCCTATGCGTGCCTAGTGGGGTGCTTCGTGTTAGTTTTCGTTTGCCATCTAGGTGTTTTTTTATACGGATACACAAAGGTCTGCCCGTTTCCCCAATGTGTTTATCTCCGCATTTATTACAAGAGATCAGGTATATCGTACCTGAACTGATGCAATCACCGTTCCTGCCGTAAAGGCAAATTACGCAATTTGATGTTTCATATAGACGGTCATACAAGCGGTTACGAACTAACTGACGACGTAGAGTGTCCGGTGGTATTTCAACTATCGCTACCGATTCCCCTAGACCTGCCCTTCTCAAGCATGGTTTCATAGCTACGCTTATTACCTCGATAATAAACGGCAACATGAACGGGACCTCCTTTTCGCCAAGCGGTAAGTATTTCGTAGCCATTGGAGATGGCTATTTGCCGAGCCAAGTTGCATGATTCTTCCTTTAGTTTCCTACTTGTGCACACAGAGGTGGCTGTTCGAAACATCTTTCTCATAAGCGCCTTCTTCGTGTGTGAAAGGTGGGTAGAGAAAAAATGAAGCAGGATTTTTTTTGTTACTTGGTTTTCGGTACAACTTTGTCATGTAACCGCTACTTGATGAGTTGATTTGAACGTTAAGAAATGGAAGCCAGGTCTCATTCGGTTTTTCTCGGGTGAATTTAATATACTCACACTGCTCGTTCAGTAATTGAAAGCATTTTCCCATCTCTTCGTGAGTAGAGAAGATGACAGAATAATCATCTGTATATCTGCAGTAGAGCAGCGGCCGGAGATCGATAACTGGGGCTTCTATTTTAGATTTTAGACATGAACGCTATGGCGAGAGTTGGTGCCAACCGCTGTTCCATTACCAGCCCTCTAATTTGTGCGTAACAATTTACCGCCTAATTGCTGCCTAATTATCGTAGCTTTTCACCTTTCTTTAAGTGTTATTGATGCGTTTGGCCTAGTAGATTGCATATCAGCATATCCTTCCAGTCTCTGAAGAAGGCGACACAGCCGAAACGTCAGCTACTGTTGCATTGTATTGCCTTTTTCTATGGAAGTAAACGTA